TCTGGAAGTTACTCACTAGAGTCCTTGGGACGCTGATTTTTTGAGAACTGATGGTCGTCGTGCTGGGCATTGATTAAATCTGGGGATGCAGTCTGCCCGTCCCTGACGTCAAAATCGTCCTCGAGGAGAGGATGTTCTTGAATTATGTAGGTCTTGTGGACCAATCATGATTGAAGGATTAAGAGTATCTTTGGTCTTCAGATTTTGGGAAAAGAAAATGAGGAAGATGGTTCCCACAGACGATACCACTGATCTTACCGGTTGATCAAAACTTGCAAACGGGCCAAAGGATGATATCTGGCTTGCTAGATATTTGACGAAAAAGAGGGGTTGTACATGCAAGGCACTCTGACGATCAAGTAAGAATGGGTGAAAAGAGATACACACATAATATTAGGGTTTAATGTTTGAATCTTGGATACTTGACCCTCACATGTGTGAGGGTTTATATAATGCCCCCGACGCTTGGCTATTGGTCCCTATTTTTGGGCCTAGATATAGTCCACAAAAAGAGGTAACTGCCAGGAATCGGTCAAAACAGGCAGGTGTGCTTGTAACTAGCCGTTGGTTTCAAGGAAGAGGTGGATTAAAGGCAGATGTACGTTCTAGACATTTCCTAGTTGTCAGCTCGACTTGTGTCAGTCTGACAAGGAGATACAGGTCATCCAAGCCAGGCGCACGTATCAGGCATCACTGGTCGTCTTCCTAGAGCGTGGTCGACGAAAATACTAGGTCCTTGTTATTGGGCCACGCCAAGGGTAGGAATGGATTGAGATAATTCTAGTCATTGGACTAGTCCAAAATGATTATGAATAAAATATTTTAAATTTCATCAGTAGTAAGTAAGATTTAATAATTATGTAAGTGTTAATTTAAGTGTATGCATATCAATGAAATACTTATAGATTAATTATAACTACATCAACAGCAGAACACACAATCTTACATACAACTTAACCTCATAATACCAAATATATATCTTATAAAACATAAAACCACCATGCAAGTTTTGGCCATAACCATGAAATTTTTAATCTATATTGTATGTTGAATTTTGTAAGTGTATGATTCAACAATCTACTAAACAACATAGCAAACACAATGATATAAGAAGTTATCTTGAATCTTATATCACAAAAATATCTAAATGATTTCAAATATTTGTGTAGACATTTAAATCATTATATCATAACCATAAGAAGAAACACCCACATACACACAACCAGCTAAATACACATTCATTCTATATATCACTAAAAAAAACTACTTAAGTGATAAAAATTGAATACCTTGAGCCACTTCTTGCAAGCTAGAATTTACAAATCCATGTAAGCTCCCATATTCAACTCCATGCAAGCTACCACCTCCATGTGAACTACCTTCTCCCTGTTCCATCTTCCAATACAAAAAAGAAAATGAAGTTAACATCAAAACAATAGAGCATGAGAAAGAAATTAATAAATATGACACATATGGACCAAAATAAACACAGATTCATTCCATATTATATAGTGAAGTGCTTTTAATAAAATTATATGGAGAAACAAAACAAAATCCATCGTAGTTATAGCATTTTACAACAACTACATGTCAAATTGCTTTGAAATTCACAAACTGATTAAAACCATCTCGAATTTTCCAAACAGACAATAATATTTCTACTTCACTAATACAAAGTCATGCTAATCATATTCACATCAAACCTATTAAGACCAATATCAAGTGATTCCACATAAAACATCAGAGAGCGAGTGAAAGAGTGAGAGAGAAACACAAAATCATGAGCGGAAAATAAACAAAAATTCAATATAATCAACCAATCAAACATCAAACCCTAAAGAAAACCAAGCAAAAAATGCTAAGAAAAAGAGAAACACATAGAGAGAGTGAGAGAGAGAGAGAGAGAGAGAGAGGGAAATAGAGAGAAGGATAGAGACAAAAAACTTACATGATCAGTGGTAGTTCGTGGTGAGCGATGAAGTAAAGTTAGTGAAGAATTGACGGTGACGACGATGATGATATCGAAGAGAGAATGTGAAACTAGAAGAAACCCTAGATAAGTTTATGTGGTGATATTAAAAGACTATTGAAATTAGGGTTTGTGTAGAGTGTTTTTCATTTTGGGACAAGTGTATTCTATCCACCATCAGCCAACCCAATAATACTAAACCACCCAATAAAATACACTTATTGAGCTGGTCGGGTTTGGATTTCGTTGGGCTCAAATAAGCCATCTGAAACCAACCGGTTGGACCCATATCAATATAATATTTTTCAATCCGTTAACTCGACGACCCGACCCACCTAAATCGTGCCTCAACGGACCACATAGATTGGTCGGATTGGGCCACTTTGCATTATTTTGTCTAGCCCTACCATGATCTTGTAAAAGATCTAAGTACCATTAGATTTATTTCATCATTGGTGAATTTTTCCCAATAATGGTTAAGTGACTTGTGAAATGAGTGAACCTCTTTTGTAAATCAAGTATCTTTCATCCCGGTTTTATTTTAAACATCTCATATTCTTGAGAGAGAGAAAGAGAGAGATAGAGTATTTAGTTTAGATCATCTTACTTCATCCATATCTTTGCGTGTGACTTCTAAGGCTTCCCATTTTTATTTAGCCGTTTGAAAATTAGACACCCTAAAGAATTCATCCATTCCTAAGGGAGATTGCTAATATTTTTTTTGGACTTTCTTATTGTGAATTTTTTTTTAGTTATCATCATCATTCCATGTATCTTAAAGTTTTGGAGAACTTACACCATTAACAATGAAAATTGGAATTTATGGACCATTTTGATTGATTTCCACACTTCTTCCCATTGGGATTCTAGAAAAATTTGCATTCTAATTTTTCAAAAATGAGAGTGCTCAACAGTGAAACATGATGGTCTATTGGCATTGCCGCCTTCTCCTAAGAATTCTTTTGCAGAAGCTATCTTTACCCGAATCTAGGAGTAAGTTACCTAACTCTTGCTCCAATGCCAAATGTAAGTATACGAGACAATCTAAGAAGATGGTGAACTAGTAGTTCAAATTTATTGATTTTAAACAAATTTTTTATCTCTTAATTTTTTCATAATTATGTGATTGACTGCAACTTTAATTTGAACGTAAAGTGTATAATTTTAAGGGCATAAAGATAAAGAATACACAAGAATTATACTAGTTCCTCTTATCAACAAAGAGTACATTTAGTTTCTATACTCCTTAAATAATTTTCCACTATAAAAGTCTTCACCAAGACCTCTTTACTACATTCTAATAAATAAACAAATACCAAACTCTGTGATAAACTTAGAATCACCCCGATTCAAAGAAACCTTTTTTACAATCATAAAACACTGTGATAATTTTCACCAAACACTATAGTGAAACAAGTCACACTTGATTTTCTAGAGAAATGAAGAACTTATGTTGACTATACAATAATTAGATTCAAAATTTAATTGATGATTCTTATCAATTTCATAACTCAAATGTACATCACATAATTGCTCATATTCTGTTTTGGTTTAAGAAACTTTTTTTCTTCCAGTTTATGAAAGTTCACATAGTTTCAAACCAATGGAAAAATGAATGTTTCTTGAAATTGTGTAAATGATTATGTGAAACCATCATTGTTTTGTTTTCAATTTTAAACCGTCATTATTTAAAAAGGTTCCATGAAGTATTGCCAATCAAAAAGGTGTTTCTATTTGATGAAAAAACACACTAGTTCAGTTGGTAGTTGGCTACCACATTATGGTATCCGACTATCACTTTCCAATGTTCAAATTTTTTCAAAAATTCAACTTGGTGTTAGACGACCACATTCTGGTAGCCAACTACCACATTTTTTACAGCACTAAAATCAACTTTTTAAAGCAAGACTTTTATGAATTTTTATGCGTTAGCTTTGAAAATATTTTAACTTAAGTTTGAATAATATTTTATGATATTTAAAGTGATATATCAAATGAATTATGATATATCAAAGATAATGATAGTCTTAACTTTGATCAATCTTAATCTTTGCTATTTTGTCATGATCGATTGTTGTCTTCATCTTTATCATTCATTTTCTTAATTGTTGTATTTTTAGTTGATAGTTGTTAACTTTATCTTTTTCTTCTTTTGTTGAAGTATTTGTCTTCATCAAAACCTTAATCAATGTTAAAAATAGATTTTTTGACAAAAAAGTCGTTAATATATACAATTTATACACAAGTTAAATATTTATTTGTTATTAATTAATTGGTAAATTTATAATTTCTTTTATATATTTAAAATATTAATAAATATGATGGTAAGAAAAATTATAAGGAAATTTTACATGGAATATAGTATACATTTTGTAAGTCTCTCTCTAAGCTTCTCTGTTCTCCTCCTTCTCTCTAGAAGGGGGCTAGGATTTCACACTTCTCTAATGCAAGACATAGCATTTCAACGAGCTGGTGGGTGGAGGGAAGTGTAGAGAAGGCCCTTTCGAAATTGGGTCCCCCATTGGAACACTTTTCCGTTAGGACGAAGAGCGGAGGAAGGTGGTGAGTTTCTAGTTGTTTTAGTGTGCTTCTCGAAATTTCCAGATAGGTGTAAAGCGAAGGAGTTTCACGAGCTTTTTGATACGTTTGGGGATGTAGTAGAGATTTAAATTGTTCCCAGGAGAAAAAATTGGGGAAGAAGTTCGGATTTGCAAGGTTGAAAGAGGTGGAAAATGAGAGACTATTAGCGACGAAGTTGGATAATGTTATCGTCGACGGGAAGAAAATTCACGTGAATCTCCCAAAATTCGTTAGAAATGAGGGAAAGGAATTGGCGAATCAAAAGGTGGATCCTAGGTCATTTGGGTTCATGAATCAGGGTTACAGTCTCAATAATCTTCATCGTGACGGTGTTGGTTTCTTCCCTCAGAGGGGAACTAGAACATTTATGGAGGCTTTAGTTAATAATCACAGGAAGGACACAAAAGTTGAGAATTACAGATAGCGGTTTTCATCGATGGAGGAAGATATAATGGGATTCTCTAAAGCTATGAAGGGTGTGGTCAACATTCCAGGTTCTACATTCAGGATGCAATCTATTCTTGATAAAGAAGGGTTTTCCTCAATTAAAGCTTCGGCATTGGGTCCGTGTCTTCTCTTATTGGAGGAATCCAAAAATGGAGCCTTGGAGGAACTGTTAGGGGAATGTGATGCGAGATGGAAAGTGTGGTTTTCGGAGGTAAGAAGATGGAACAATAAGGAGATGGATAAGGAGAGGCTAATTAGGGTGAAAGTCTATGGTGTCCCGTGCTTTGCTTGGCATAGAAATTTTTTTGTGGCGTTGGCGAATTCGTTCGACAAGTTCGTTTGTTTGGATGAGTATACTTCTAATGGCAGAAATTTCGATACTGCGAGAATTACGTTGATTGTCAAGTTATCGTTTATTCTTCAGGAGTCTTGTGTGGTGGTATTAGATGGGAAGGAATTTGAGTTGTCTATTGTTGTACCCCAAAATTTTCCTTCCCATTTTCACACAAGACATACTCCTAGAGGTCCTCAATTGATCAAGGTTGACCAAGAATTGATCAGACAAATTCTCCTCCTAAGCATTGGCCTTCCAACTAGGGTTTCATTTTTCACCAAGATGTGTGATATCCAAAGGTCTAAAATGTCTTCCATGGTCCTAATATGTCTTCAAGATTTTCCATGTCAAATTTCATACCTTGCACTACAAGTTTGCTCAGTCAACTGCTCAAATGCCTGAAACTCAACTGTATTAGGTCAAAAGTCAACTATGGCCTATATATAGTCAAACTTCAATATTTTTGGTCAACATCAACATTTTAAAGTGATATCCATCATTTGATCAAGGTTTGATCATGATTCCTCATGAAATGCTCCTAATTCATCAAAGTCAAGAATTGCTAAGTTAGGGCTTCTATAGGAAAAGTCAACCAAAATTTGACCAGACATAACTTTCTCATACTTCATCCATGTTTCCCCAACCAAAGCTCATTTTTAAGAAAATCCAATTCCCTACAACTTCTCTTTAGCCCACAAGTTCAATAGATTCACCATTTGAAAGATACAAGCTCATACATTACAGGTCATTTTCAGAAAGTCAACAAAAGGCACTTTTTGTCAAGACCATTTACATCAAGATAAAGTATTCAAATGAAAAATTGGTCAAAATATATATTGAAGTAGATATCTTGGGCTTTCCAAAAAGTCATAGATCATCAACATGAGATAAAAATTGAGCAAGTTATGGCTTTCCCAAGTTGGAAAAGTTTTGGAAATTTCAAGAATGGTGCATTGAGCAAATTTGAATTTTGAGTCAATGGCCTAACCTTTTAAGGTTAAAATATTTTACTAAGTTTATAGTGGACCTATAATCTTATTTTTGCATGGCCTTGCATTTTCTACCTATTTTTTACATATTTATTTTAATTTATTTCAAATAAATATAAAATAAATGGTACAAAATAATTGGAAATGGGCTTAGGTATTTGGGTTGATGCTCTGGCTTGCTTAAAGGCCCAAAGATTCGTGCACAAATGTCCAAATTCATTGAACGTCAAAAATGGCATGAAATCTCAAGTTTGGTAATTTTTCAAATTTGTGATAATGGCTTTAAACCATGGCTTTATGGGCTTGATTCTTTCCTCCTTATCTTGTCCCTTCCATCTACTCTATATATACATTGCATTAGCAAGCCAAATGGAGAGAGAGAGAGAGAAAAAAAAGAGAGCACACGAAATTCACAAAAAAAACCTTCCAAAGTTATGAAATCCAAAAGTGCACTTCCAGTCTTCCTCGTGCCCAGCAAACCATACCATTCAACTCCTGACGTTATCAGGGGATCATTCCAATCATCATTCAAGTCAATCCACGTCTGAAAGCACCCATCCAGATTGCTCCTTTGTGGTAAAATTTCCAAGATCTGAATCTCTTAATACACGCATTCTAAACAAGTTTAATGCATATATTCTTATTTGTATGATAATTTTGATTAGTTCTAACGTGAAGCATGAGTGATTCGATGCAGATCTAAGTTTTTGCCATGTTTAGGGCCAAACCTGAGTCGTGGCTTGAACAAGATGATACAGCCAGGACCTTTGAAATCTAATCCCATAAATAGACTCAGGAGGGTTGAATTGGGGGGGGGGGGGGGGGCTTGATTATGGGCTTCGATTTTATGATTTTGCAGGTTTATGCATTTTTGATATCCCGGAGAAGACGACTAGAGTTTGACTCCGGCGTCCCTCTGGTAAGTTGACTCAGGCAGAAGCTTACGTGGCTGGATCAATATCTTTGATTGGCTCATTCAAACATCAGGGTCCCACCTGGAGCGCACGCGTATACAGCTCAACATGATCCACTTGCTTCACATATTTATTATTGTTAGTGTTTATATAAATGAATGATAAAATGGCCTGGTGGTGAGACGTGTGTGTGTATATCCAGAAGTCCTGGGTTCGACCCTAGATTGCTGCGTTTTGCTTTGTTTTTCAACATTTCTTTTTGCAGTTTTTTTGGAGCGCTGGGCTCATCACCTTGGGCCTAGCGAATTTCAACAAACACACCCCCAGTTGCTTTTGACAACCAGACCCATATTTTTTGTTTGTTATTTTCCCTTTTCTTTTTTTGTTTTTAGTTATTATTTATTTGTTTCCAGAAATCATTTTTTTAACAATAAAAAATCAAAACAAAAATAAATAAATAGGTTTAGGTTTTTTTATTTAAAATTATCTTAATTAATTATTTAATTAATTTTATTTTATTTTATCAACTAAAAATCAATTAGGCTTAGGTTCATTTTAATTCAAATGTTTTCTTAATAAAAAAAACACAAAAATATTAGAATTAGGTTAATTTCAATATTTATTCTCTTAAATTAAATTTAGATTTAGTTTAATTATTTTTATTGAAATAAATAAAAATAAAACCAAAATATTTTTCATTCTTAGGATTTTTTAGACGTAATATTTATTTCGCGCGCGTTGTTTTTATTCTTGCATTTTATATAAATAATGTAACTGATTATGGGATGTAATAGTCTAGATTTAAAATTCTGCATTTTATTTTCTTGCACTTTTTTATGTGATTGTCCCAAAGCGTTGTAATAGTCTAGGATTTAAATTTCCACACTTTAAATTTCTGTAAATATTAACTGTTAGTAACTAGGTGTGCATGATAAGACTGAAAATTAACATGTTAGCAAACTTAATAATGCAAGATAGATAACTGAACTTAACACATATGCACATATGCACCTCTAGGGTATCCCCACTTCGGTTTCCTTCGGTAAAACAGTCACAATTCTCGAAACGTGAGAAGTTTTAGTGACTATTCCTCAGTTTAAAGATCACTAGTCCCTCGATGACCCTCTCGACGCTGCCTCGGTTTAAAAGTGATCTAGAACTTTAGGGTGGTTACGAAAGCCTCTTGCCAAGTTGCCTTCGTGACTATAAACGTCCCTTCGATTGTCCCTCTAACATCCGATGACAAGGCTACCTACTCATTAATAGTAGGATAACACTGTCTAAAAGATAGGAGGAAAATAACGACCCTTTTCGAGTACAAAAGTAGATAGCTGTTAGAAGTTTGCTCAAACATTTTGCACTTACACAAAAAACTACTTTTCAAAAAACAATTTCAAAACACTTTGTATACTTTCTCCACTATCCCGAGAAACATTACAAAGTTTGCCATACTAAGGCATTTTCAAAGCATCTTCAAACACACAAAGCACAAATGTATTCCAAAATGAGAAAACCTCTAAGAGCCCGTGGAAAACCACGGATGGAAAGGGTTCTAACACCTTCCCCTTCCATAATCTACCCCCTTACTCAGAAAACTCTTGAAAAGTTCTCTTTCTGTTCTTTTCACCCTTTCCTTTATTGGATAAAAGAAAAGTCAGTGGCACCTCTTGCTTACCGCAACATTTGCGAACAAAAACGCAAAACCAATATTAAACAGTAGGTTCTGCCACCGTATCACAGAACTGGCGACTTTGCTAGGGATCTTTATAAAGTGGGGTTACCTTAGAGTTTTAGTTCATCATTTTAAAATGCTTTATTGTGTGTTTGCTTGCTTTATCTTTGAGGGTTTATTGGGGTATTCTTGTAAAGATCCTACACCTAGATATGGGGCACCTTATTAGGTAAGTAGCAATAAATCATATAGGCTGTACGGCGTAGACCGATACGGACGAAGTGGTGGCTACGTTAGTGCGATACTTTGGATTGTACTAATGTTCCTCGAGTAAGTCAAGGATAACATTAGGCTTCCTCATAGTGTCTGTGATATGGTGGCCAGAATCGGGACGTGTTTCCCTATTTCGTTAAGGAATTTGCTGGTTTACGTTTTGCGTTTGTTTTTGCAAAATGTCGCGGTAAGCAAGAGTCGCCACCGACTTTTATTTTATCCACAAGGAAAGGAAAAAAGCACAGAAAAATTCCTTTTTCGAGATATTTCTGAGTACGGGGGGTGGATTATAGAAAGGGAAGGTATTAGCACCCTTTCTATCCGTAGTTATCTACGGGCTCTTAGGTACTTGCTCATCATTTTCAAAATTGTTTTCTTTGTGTTTTGTATGCTTTGAAAAGTTTTTGTTTTAACTTCGATTTAACTCTTGCTTCTTCCTTCAAGAGTGTAATGAAGTGTTTTTGAAAACTTTGTTTGTAAAGGAGTGTAAGTGTGAAAAAGCTTGTTTTGATTGAGCAAGTACTTAAGAACTAATCTACCTACTCGAAAAAGAATCGTTCTATGCTTGTTTCCTTTAGACAATGCTATCCCACTATTAGTGAGTAGGTAGCACCGTCGTTGGAGTTTGAGGGTCAATTCGAAAAGGGACATACGGTCACTAAAGCAATGTTAGGACGTCTTAGTAGTAACCCTAATGTCTTAGATCATTTCTCCGAGGCAACAATATCCGAGGCAACCATTCCGAGGCAACTCTGATCTTTGGACAAAAGGATGACCACTAAAGCATCCTATACTCAATGACCGTTTACCGAAGGCAACCAAGTGGGAGTGTACCCTAAGAGTGCGCATGTGCGAGTGATTCAGTTTCAGATTATTATCTTTGCACATTTAGGGTGATCTAACTGTTTTCAAATTAATCATACATTCTTGTCATGCATCCTATTAACATACATCTAACAGTTAATAATTTGTGGAATTTAAAGTGCGGAAATTAAACTACGCTATTACAAGGCTTCAGGTATTTACATAGCCAAAAACAAACCCTTTGAAAAGTAAAGAATAAAGCGATAAATGAAAAGTAAAAGTCCTAATTAAAACTATTACACCTTGTGAGCAGTTACAATAATGGGATAAAAATAATAATAACGCGCGCGATGAAATTTAGATCGGGAGAAAATTAGGGTTTTGACCCTTCTAACCTAATCAAAAGAAAAACTGTTTTTGTTGTTTTTAATATTTTTTAAAGAAAAGAATTTAGGTTTTAAAATTAAATACAAAATTAATTAGTAATTAAATTAGTTTAAAAATAAATAATTAAATGGCCTATTTTTGTGTTTTGTTATTTTAAGAAAAAAGAAAATAGAATTAAGTTAGAAACAAAATCCTAATTGTTCTAATTAATTTTAATTTATTTACAAAACAATTAAAGTTACCTAAAATTAAATTAAATCCTAAAATTAATTATTCGAGTTTATTATAAAAAATCAAAGGTTTGTGAAAAATGTTAAGTTTTATGAAAAAAGATTTTAAACAGAAAGAATAAAAATAGGTAAACGGATAAATAGAAAGGAAGAAAATCAAAACCAATAGGGGTGGCTGTTGAACCCACACCCTTAACCTTCTCAGGATGTCTGCCTCGCCATGTATTGGTGTCATGTGTTGGCTGTTATCTTTTGGCCATTTGTGTTTTGGCCTCAACGTTCCTTAACCTTCTCAGGATGTCTGCCTTGCCACGTATTGGTATCATGTGTAAGTTGTTCTGTTTTGGCCATTTGTGTTTTGGCCTCAACGTTCTGTAATGAACCTGCATGGGATCCTGTCTAAATCTGCAGTGTTGAATCTCATGAACACATTAAATAAATTACTATATATTATGAAATACAAATAAAGCCAATATATGAAGAAATTTAATGTTAAAACCGATATGGCATGTATGAATGATTATACTCTTTTGATCATGGAGATCAAATCAGTCTTACCCTTACTGGAGAAGTAGTGATATGAATGCTTTTATGCCCTTTTGATCATGGAGATCAAGCCAGCCTTACCTTTACTGGAGAAGTAGTGAGATGTTGGTTTGTAACAGGGATGACTTGTTTGTAGTGAGATGGGGATTTGTAATAAGGATTTCAAGGTTTTAGGGTTCTTGAAAGAATTTGATATTTTGACAGCATTGTGGCAAAAGCTTTTTTTTCTCCTCCTTGTTTGCGTGAAAAGAATGAGATTATATAATAGAAATTAGAGAGAAAAAATGGGCTTTGAATGTGCAATTGGGCCTCCAATGTTCACTTGAGTTCATCATATTCCAGGCTAAATCGCAGGGGCTTAAGTGCAATTTTTGAAGTTGAAATGTGAAAACAAAATGTAGCCGACATGAGAACTAACTCCTGCCCGAAAATGAGCTCAATCAGATAAACGATGAATTAGTTATGAATTTTATAAGTTTCAGCTCAGACAAACTTATTTTGGGCTCCAGTGTCGACTCTGACACGTTCTTCAATAAAAAACTGGTATTGATCGGAGCATAATTCGGTCTCGACTTTTGAAGCAAAGTTGTAGATATCTGAGTTAGTGACCTTTTCTAAAAAGATGGGCCCAATCCGATTAAAATTGACCGAGTTATGAATTTTCGGAGTTTCGGCCCAGATGAAATAGTATTCAGCATTCAGGATTTTCGGCGCGTCACACGCACTCTGAGAAAAAAACGAAGGCCTTTTGAATACCGTTCTGTTGTACCCCAAAATTTTCCCTCTCATATTTCTCAAGACATTGCAAGAAAAATCTCCAAGTGGCTCAAGGTTGCTCAAGAGTTGGACAGACAAGCTATCTCCTAAGGCAGTCAAC